CAAGCAATATTTTGCACCCGAAACCGGGCTATGGTCTGCACGAGGAGCTCGCTTCAGTAAACTGTCTCCAAATCTGCGCGGACACTGCCTTTAAGTGTTCAAAAGTAATGTTTTTTGAGATCAAAGTCCAGTACTTTTGCGGAATCCTAACCTGAAATCGAACACAGTGACACTTATCAGAAGCCAGTGCACATGGCCAGGTAAACGGCTTTTCGACCACTTTAGAAGTACTTCAGTAGTAGTAGCGTACTCACCAGCAGTAAGGACAGGTGCAGCATGACCAGCATAGATCTGATTCAATAGTCGTTGACGCTCCGCATCTTCTGGAATCCTAACCTGAAATTGAACACAGTGACACTTATCAGAACATCGACCACTACGTCCACGCTGAGCACTTTCAGTGACGATGACACGTACACATCATCTGAAAGCCTTATGCAAAAACTAGTCAACAAGCGAGAGTGGCACCGATAAACAAAAACCTTTTAGACAAGCAACCACAGTCACACTTGCGCTTGCAAAACATAGAAAGATGCTAAAACAACTCACCCTTCTTTGCGGTCCTACTTCAAAATATTCTGGTTCTCCTTTCCAATAATAAGTCATGACAGCCAATAGCATGCAATTTTCGTAGACTCTGAACAGAAATAATAGAAAGGAGCAGAAAGTAAAAATCATCATACCTGCTATTTGAGGGACTTCTACCCGTGTATATTTTCCGAACAAATCTACCATTTACAGAAGGATGTTCATAACGCTTTGAAAGAATCTAGGAAAAACTTTTTGGCTCCGAGATTTTTAATTTTGAGCCGTAGAGGTTGACGAAAGCTACCTGCACATCATACTCGGCACCTTCGATGAGCTTACATCCGCGATCGACCCTAACTGCGTCACCCGTGTTAGGATCTATCTTATAATACCTAGAATGATAAACTGAATCATGAGAATAGAAAGGATCACACTATACCTGGAATTGCCAGCAGGTTTACCCCAGCAACCGTTGTCATCTCGCCTCAACTCCGCATCAGTAACAAAGTTAGACAGGTCAATCACAAAAGTTCCGCATTCGCGATAACCTTGAGGAACTTTACTGCAAACTCTGAAAATCGGACATAACAGGGAGGTTAGAACAAGAATAAAACGATGAATGAAACAATAACCTACTTAGACGGTTCCACAATGGTTCCGCCGAGGATTATGGAAGCGGCGACATTGAAGTCCACTGCGCCTACAGCGTATAATGGACAGTCGCCGAAGTAAGCAGAACAAGTGGCTGGAAGCGCAGCCATCGCACTGCCTTGCTTAAAAATCAAAGCTCAACCCTAATGCACACGTTAATCAATAATCTGAGGAAAATCATAAGAAAAAAACAGAACAGAAATGAACAACTAGTAACATACAAACGACGCCGCCTGCCAATCTTTTGAGCCTGGTGGTGGGTGAGGTATTGGTGGGCCTCCGCGTTTATTCTTTATCGGAATAGCTAAAAAGCGTTGTCAAGAATGTCAAATTGATCAGAAGAATCATCCCGAACTTACGTATCACTCTGAAGTTGAACGGTTTTCCAATCCATTCGTATGTAATTACCACAAATGAAATCACTTCTTTCCGTTCCGGCGGATACAGAGCAGTATACACCTGCAGACATGAATAGCAAACAATATCAGACTGAATAGAATACGGCGTAAGTCTACCTTTTTGATAAACCGGTTTTGGCCTCCGTTTACGTTAGCTGTCATTGGATGTTCATACCTCCTCATCATACATTTCCATATGTATTTTGCATGTGGTAGCAGATTTCCGCGTCCATCGTCCATTCGCATGAATACCCCATCACTGGAGCCGTAATAGCGATTTCTCCCAGTAGGTTTTCCTGAAAATGATATATGTAATTTATAGAATGTACCTTACGAATGTGACATGAAGACTGATGAATTACGGTAACTACCTAAAAAAGATGCCATGGTTCACTTGCATACCGGAAAAACTGCATCCGGTAATAAAAAGACAAATTTGAACGTAACGTTTCCTTTCTAGTAAATACATTGTAGCAGTTATATTTACTTACGTCTTGTAAACAAATATGACTGCTGGCTGCATGGCTGCCTTACCAAATAGAATTATGTGTACTTTACTGTATCTGACAAGGGGATACCAGGGGCGGTAT